CCCCCCCCCTGATACCATTTAAGTTAACTTAATTTTGCCTCCAAAAAGTTTATCTCATCAAAGATGGACTGCACCTTGACTTCGCCCAGGTCTCCTCAACACTCCCAACTGGATTCGATACCGACTCGATGTCATCGTGGTAAAATAGCTTCTATGCAACGGAAGGAGATCGCGATCATACAAAAGGCAGCCCCATCTTTCTCTCTATACCTTTGCATTCATTGTGTCTTTCTTTTACATCTTCAGAACTTCTAAGACTATGGGGGGTTACTCTGAGAAATTTTAAAGTAATCCAGATGCCTTATAAATGCTCTCTCCTCTTCCATTTCGTAGACCATCAGCAACGGTTGGCGGGCAGATCTTTGTCTGTCTACCAAGTCGGGGCTACAGCGAAGCGCCACTACCGTGAAGATGCCCCGGTGGTGCAAAATGGCCCTCAGTCAATCCTGATGTCTTCAGCTAATACTGAGCCATCTGGAGCCACCTTCACTTCCCTGAACCAATCTCAGCCTCCCTACAAGCGCTCGCATTGTCTTCACTTGTGCTGCTTTGCAGAGCAGAAAGCTGCTCCGCCCGACTGGCTGGCCCACCATCAAGGCATCGATGCCGGTGAGAACAGGTTTCCACGAGAGAACGGTTGTCTTGTAAACGGCCCTCAAGCTTCTGTCATTCAGGAGGTGAGTGACTATGACAACGGAGTCTGCAACTGCACTCCTGGTTGTCTGGAGAGCTGGCTTTGTGTTGCTAGAGGCATGCGCCCGCCAGCCAACCAGTCAACCTTGATAGGAGAAGGTTTGACGCCCACTGGGTTGCCACCGTTTAGGAGAGAACCCTTCTGGCCCGCTACTTTGGCCGGCGTTTCAAGTCAGCGCCATTTGTCTCCTTTTGCCCAGAATATTGGACTCGAGGAAAAGATGGTTTTTGTCCCAACGACTTTCAATGACAGTGACCACCTGATCAGGTAATGATAAAGTGACAATTAAATCTCTTAACTTCCATTAACTTATGATGCAATATGCTATTATATGCAATATTTCGGGCGATGCCTGTACAAATTCCAAATCTACTCCGGATTATTAAAGACATGAAATTAGCAATAAAGTTGTCGCCATTTTTCTGGCAGTCTTACTGCATAATTGCCTGGAGGGCAAGATAAGTTGTATTCCTATTGTAGAGCAAATAATTTTAATTTTTACTCGTGCCCTTCATGAAGTAACCTTCGGATAGTACTACTAAAATATACTCATAAATGGAGGGGCTCTGATAGTTATGAATAATAAGTGTCTCTTAAATCAGTTAGGATGTTAAGCATAATCGAATATGTTTCAGTCAGGCTTATGAAGAGGAGCTGGTTTCAGATGACTCTTTTAACAATTTTATGTAATTTGATCTTTTGTTTCGCATTAAAATTCGGTAGAAGGTGTTCTTTACTCGGCCTCACCAGGAAATGAGGGAGGGAAGCTTGGAAGTTGTTAAGGATGATTTGATAATTGAGGCCTTAAAACGCATTAGCGAGCCCCTCGGTTTCATCTGTTCTGACATCAGATTGAATAGATTTCGAAACTAACAATAGATCTTAAACAAGAGCTGTTTTCACCCCAGGTTGCATACATTGATGAAGGATTGATAAATGAATTCGCTCACAATGATAGGAATAGACTTCACGGTGCCAGGAAATTTCGTTTACCCTTTCAAACAGAAGGTCTTCTTGTCCCGGCGGGACTGCAGTTTCTACCTTACTTGGGTCTCTACAGCACCACCAGCGGAACTCGAACCCGGGTAATTTCGATGAATACTTCTCTTATATATGATCTAGTGATAGTCTCGAAAATTTACTTATAAACGAAAATGATTCTATGCAATTGCATCGTTCCCTTTGGTCCAATAACATCTCTATCACTAGTTCGGATAGAAGTAGATTCGATAGCATTATTGGAAAGTTCTTCATTCTTGCAGAGTCATGCTCAAGCAAATATCATGAGACATTAGAAAGAATCAAGTACTACGAAAGTTTCAAATTGCCTGACTGATAGTAGTCTTTTTCTGGTTGTTAGGACGATAATGATAATGCAATTTTCTTGCAACCAAATTGCAACCATCACTCTTCCTGTATTTATGTGGTATATTTGACCGATATCAAACTCCTGTCACTTTCTCATTTTAACTCTCTGTTGGGTTTGGCTTTCGCGTTACTTTGCGGCCCATGGGCTTAATACTTGCAGGTTTTTCCATATTTGCTTGTCCTGGCATCTGTGAACATCTTCATTCTT